CCCGGCCCGGCCCACACCGCCACGGGGTCTTCAGCCTCCAGACCCGAGAATGAGCGTGCGGCGTCGATGCCTCCGTCCATGGACTTGGTTCCGTGGCCCCAAGCAAGCGGGCTCCCGGGGATGCTGGGAGGTCTGGCCAGGCGCCTCGGGCTGGAGGCAGCAGGCCCGGCTCGGATGCCAGTGACGCCCCCGTGGGAGGGCCGGAGTGCGCCCCCACCCAGGGATGACCGGAGAGTCGAGAGGGCTGGAAACCCAGCCATCCAGCCCGACGGGACCAGGAAGAGCGCGATACGTTCTTGGCCTTGGTGACACCCAGGAGAGGCGGAGATTCTCAACTCGGGCTGTGGACGTGTACGGTGTGGGAGTCTTTAAAAAACAAAGCCCAATATTGGAGAGGTGGGGGTCTCACTCTGTCGCCCAGGCTGGTCTCCAGCTCCTGGCCTCAAGCGGTCCTCCCGCCTCAGCCTCCCGAAGTGTTGAGATTACAGGCATGAGCCACCGCACAGGTGTGAGTCTGTGTGATTCTCGTGTGCCGGGGGCCGTGGTCCTTGGAGGCGGCACGACGCTGTGGCCTGTGGGGGAGGGAAGCGCGGTCCCACGCTGCCTCACAGAACCGAGCCTGTGGAGGGCGAAGCTTGCCGGCAGGCCCGCAGGCCGCACGAGGCGAGGCCAGGCGGCTGGTCCCAGCCGGGACTGGAGACGGTTTGCTGTAGGACTTTAAAAGCGAGGCCACGGGCACCGTCTCCAGAACCCCCGCCGACCCTGGCCACCTGAGCCCGCAGTCCTCCACTCCCTTTCACCTCACCCTGGCCTGGGGCATGGACCGACGTGAAATCCTGTTGTAGTTTTCAGTCAGGGTCTTGCTCTGCCACCCGGGCTGGAGTGCGGTGGCACTGTCACAGTCCGCCTCGGCCTCCTGAGTCGCCGGAACTACAGGCGTGTGCCACCACGCCTGGCTAATTTCTGATTGACTGTCGAGATGAGGTCTTGCCAAGTTGCCCGGGTGGGTCTAGAGCCCCTATGCTCAAGCCATCTTCGTGAGCCCCCACGCCCAGCCAGAGCTGGCTGGCTTCTTCTCAAGTCTCTTCAGGGCCCAGGTCTCCTCACGGCAGGGCCAGCTCCTCACCGTGCTCTTTTCCAGGCCTGTCGCCTGGAAAGCGGGACAGCAGTGCCGCCCCCCCATGGGGCGGCTGGGTGAGGGGCCTGACGGAGAAGCCGCGACCCTCTGGCACGGCGTCTCCGCAGCACCGCCAGGGAGGCTGGAGCCAGGAGGGTGACAGGGTGGTGTGGCCAGAGGTCAGGCTGAAGGGCAAAGCCAGGTCGGACTCCCAGGCCCGCTGCAGGGAGACGGGGCCTTTCTGACAGGGCTGGCGCCTCGGAGGTTTCGGTATCCATTTTTGCTTGCCCGTGACTGTCTTCGGTCTTTTTCCTCTTCTGAGTCAGGGTCTCCCTCTGTCGCCCAGGCTGGAGTACAGTGGCTTGATCACGGCTCACTGCAGCCTCGACCTCCTGGCCCTCAGGCGATCCTCCCGCCTCAGCCTCCCAAGTAGCTGGGCCCGCAGGCATGCTAATTTTTTTTTTTTTTTTTTTTTGAGTTGGAGTCTCACTCTGTCGCCCAGACTGGAGTGCAGTGGCCGCTCCCGGCCACCGCAGCCTTGACCTGCCGGGCTCCGGCGATCCTTCTGCCTCAGCCTTCCATGTAGCCGGAATTACAGGCATGCGCTACCACGCCCGGCTGATTTTTTAATTTATTGTAGAGATGAAGTCTCGCTGCCCAGGCGGGTCTCAAACCCGCGGGCTCAGGCAATCCACTCACCTCAGCCTCCCAAAGGCGCGGGATGACAGGCTGAGCCACCGAGCCCAGCTAATTTTTTTTTTTTAATTGTAGGGGCGAGGTCTTACCAAGTTGCCCGAGCTGGTCTCAAATCCCTGGGATCAGGCAGTCCTCTCACCTTGGCCTCCCAAAGTGCTGGGATGACAGGTGTGCGCCCCTGGGCCCAGCAGTTTTTGGTTTTTAAAGTCACTGTGATCCAGCTTCAGGACACCAACCGGAACCAGCCCCAGGTCAGGAGTGTAAGTTTGCACCAGGGCATCTGGCAGAGGGGCAACCACGGAGACTCGGGCGCAAACCCCTGGCACGTGGGACTCTGGCTCAGGAACTGCGAGTGCCGGCCCAAAGTAGCGTTGGGAACGGCCACTGCGGGACCCGGCACTGCGACGCCAGCAGAGAGTGCTGCCCGGGGACACACACAAGCCCAGGAAGCCCGCCTGGGTGAGGTCACATCATGGTTTCCAACAGGGAGGGAGTGGGTAGCGCCATGGCCAACAGGTTGCTTTTTGTCTTCTTTATTTAAATATGAAAAACATTTCCTCTCCCCTGTTCATCTGAAAGGCGCCCCCCCGGGACCCGTGAGAAAACAGTCTGGGGACTGGAGGGCTGGAAGAGGTCAGTAGGCACTCCGGGCTCCCAGGGCCTGGCCAGGTCCCTGGAGGTGCACACTGGTGGTGGAAACGCACATCTTCCCGCCCTGGCCTGGGCAGCATGGCAGGGAAGGGCGGGGAGCTGGGAGGCCCGGCAGATCCCCTGGCCCCCAGACCCTGCCCAGGGCCTAGCGGCCCCACAAATCCCCGGACAGGGCCACGTCAGCCCCAGTCGGTGACCGAGAGTCCCTCATCAAACCAGCCGGGGCCCCGTCAGAAGAGAAGGTGCCACAGCCACGGGGCTGCGGTCACAGCTCACTGCGGGACGCCTTGGCCACGATCACCAGCTTGGACAGCTCGGCCTTGAACGCCCCGGGCCTGTGGGCCACTGCAACGAAGAAGCATGCAGTCAAGCCCTGGAAACTCTTGGAACTCTCGGGGTCCCGGGACCTGGGGTGGAGCCAGCCGGGCAGGGAGCAGCTGGAGGGGACTCCATGAGAAAAGGCCCCGGACGCCAGCAGGCCAACGCATGAGGGGTGGAAGGGCGGCGTGGAGGAGGAGGTTGGCATGGTGACCTTGCTGTGGGTGGCAGGGACAGCCCTGGTCATCTGTGCCACATCAAGCATGGACGGGGAAGGGGACAGGCTGCATCACCCCCTGCCGACCCGGTGAGCCTGTCCCAGCCGCATGACACTGTCCAGAGGGCCCGGGACCTGGGCTGACCGGCCCTGCCTGCTCCGTCCGCCCCCTGCCTCCAGGCCCCTCCCTCATCCCTGGGCAGTAGGACATGGCTTGGAGGACCCTGACGCTGCCTGGTGACCCCCAGGGTCCTCTCGACAGTCCAGGGACCTCACTTCTAGGCCACCCTGATGGTTTCTACTTTGAAGCTTCCACAGAGCCCAAGACCACCAGGCCACACGCGTCTCACAGACCCCCACCTTCTCTGGTGCTCACCCACTAAACATCCCTGAAGCACACAGCTCTGAGTAGGAACGTGCTTTCTTTTTTATTTTTATTTTTGAGTCGGAGTCTCTGTCACCCGGGCTGGAGAGCAGGTGCACACTCACGGTCACCGCAGCCTCGGCCTGCTGGGCTAAGGGGATTCTTCCGCCTCAGCCTTCCAAGTAGCTAAAACTACAGGCACGTGCCCCCACACCTGGCTAATTTTTTGACTTACTGTAGCGATGAGGTCTCGCCAAATTGCCCAGGGTGGTCTTGAACCCCTGGACCCAGGCAGTCCTCTCACTCAGCCTCCCAAAGTGCTAGAATTTAGGCATGAACCACCATGCCTGGCCTAGAACTTGCTCTCTTAAGAAATAGGGTCTTGCTCTGTCCCCCAGGCTGGCGTGCACTGGCCTGACCATGGCTCACTGCAGCCTTGAACTCCTCCTACGTAGCCGAGACGACAGGTGTGCTGCCACACCTGGCTACCTTTTTATTTTTTATGGAAACAAAGTCTTGCCACGAGGCCTGGGCTGGGCTTGAACTCCTGGGTTCAAGCGATCCTCCCTCTCAGCCTACCAAACGCTGGGATCACAGATGTGTCCACTGTCCCGGCCTTGGCTCTCAGTCCCCCAACAGATTGGCAAGGTGTGGCCCGCCCCCTGCTCTCCTATGTCCTGTGCACTAGAGTGGTTTTTGTATTTATAAATAGCTTTAAAACAATCAAAAGAAATACATTCTTTTGCAATAGGGGAAAATGGTCTGAAAGTCGTGTTTCAGTAGTTTTTGCGTTTGTCTTTGAGGTGAGGTCTCACCCTGTTTTTCCGGCTAGGGTGGCATAATCATGGTTCACTGCAGCCTCAAGCTCCTGGGCTCCGGCAATCCTCCTGCCTCAGCCTCCCAAATAGCTGGGACTACAGGTGCCACCATGCCCGGCTCGCTTTCTGACATTTAGTGGAAACAAAGTCTTACTATGTTGCCCAGGCTAGTCTCAAACCCCTGGGCCCAAGCAATCCTCCCACCTCGGCCTCCTAAAGCTCTGGGATTACAGGCGTGAGCCATCATGCCTCCCTAAAATAAAGCTTTACTGGTACACTGCTATGCCTTGCTTGCTGATGTATTGCCTGTGGCTGCTTCTGCACCGTGTGGCAGAGCTAAGATGCAAAGATAGAGCCTGTGGCCCCACAAAGCCACAGAGACGTCCTACGTGGCCCTCCGCAGCACGTCTCCAGCCTCCTGGGTCTTGGGGCCCGTGACGCCTCCCCTTTCCACATGCCCCGATCCTGTCCGCCGGGGAGACCCTGTCACCCTGCGCCATCCCCAGTCCCCACGTCCCCTCTTTCCTACCTGCTGTTTTGGTCACTTCAAACTCCTCGCTCTTCAGGGGGACGTCACTTTCCCTTTCAAATGCAGCTTTGGACTGGAAGGGAATGGATGGAGACCTCACTGGCCATCCCGAGGCTTAGGGAAGCGACTTGGGGCCTTTTTGGGGCCCACGCCAGAGCCGTGTGCACAAACTGCAGAGCAGACGCTTCTGCACACCCACAGAGAAGCCATCCGCAGTGGGCCCCACGCCCCTCCCCTGGTGCCTCAGGCCTGGGGATCTGTGCGGGGGGTGGGGGTTACCATGCTCTTTAAGCTGCAGAGCCTCCCTCTAAGGGTCCGGGCTCCCTGTTCCCCGAGACACTCACGTAGGCCATGGCGTACTCAATCTCGGCGCCCTGCACCTCCGCCTTGAACTGTGTGAAGTACAGGTAGGACTTCCCCTGGGGCCTGGGGGGGAGGGGGGGAGGGCATCAGGCCGGGCAGTGGGGCTCAGCGCCCTGGAAACAGCCCTGCCCGGGCCCAGCAGCTTCTGTGCCTCTTCCCAGCATGGACCCTGACTCCAGGCACCGCTGGCGGGGGAAGGGTGACAGGCACACCATACACGCCCCCCTTCCCTGTACTGGAACATTCGTCACCACAGCCACGCACTGACTCCTGCTTGCCAGAGACTCTGGGTGTCTCAAGGGGGTGGGGCCAGGCAGAGGGGTCAGCAGAGGGTGGGAAGTACAGGAGTTAACTAGAAAGCGGGGGAAGAGCATCCACCCAGGTCCCCAGCACCCTGGGAGGCCAAGGCAGGAGGACTGCTTGAGCCCAGGAATTCGGGACCAGTCTGGGCAACATAGAGATTTTTGTCTCTACAAAAAAGAAAAAAGAAAAACCAGGTGGGCATGGTGGTGTGCGCCTGTAGTCCCAGCTACTCAGGAGGCTGAGGTGGAAGGGTCACCTGAGCCCAGCAAATCAAGGCTGGGGTGGCCATGCACGTGCCGCTGCACTCCAGCCTGGGTGACAGAGTAAGACTTCAACAACAACAACAAAAAAAAGTCGGAGCAGTAAAAACGTTTGGAAGGTGACAGCAGGAGATGGTGATGTGGTGATGTCTTGGGTGTGGAGAGCTGACTGGTGTAGGCGGCAGGGAGGCCGAGTCTGTGGGAGCCCCAGATTCTGGGCAGTGGAGTATCGGTCCGTGTCTGACTCCGGAGGCCCACTGAAGTCTGACCTCCCGTCGCCGAGTGGTGGCCCCTGGGTGAGCAGGCCTCTGCAGGTGGGTGTGTCTGTGGGGGACCGCCCTGTGGGCCAGGCAGGGGTCCAGGCTTAGGGTGAGCCCAGCCCTGTCCCGAAGGCTCCAGGCCCCAGAGGGCTGCGTCTGCACCCACCCACGTGCCATCCGGGGAGCTGAGGCTCAAGGCCCCGTGCCAGGCGCGACAGGCAGATGGGGCCGACCGTGGCTTCCCCGTGGTAGGGATGACCCCAGCTCCCAGGGCCCCCAGCCCCTCCTGGCTTATCTCGGCAGCTTCCTCGGGCCAGGAGGCCACCCCAGCAGGGTCTCCTCAGCTGCCTGGCCTGGCCTGTGCCTGCCCGTGACACAGGTCAGTCCCAGCAGACTCTCCCTGGGACTACTTAGTCAACACCTGCTGTTTGTGAAGCGTCCAGCAGAACGACCGTGCGACACCGCCACGCGATGCATCAAGTCACACCCTGTCCTTTAAACGTCGCCAACCACTGAGGTCTCACTATCCGTTTTTTTTTTTAGCTCTGCCGGAGTGCAGTGGCACACTCACAGCCACCACAGCCTCATCCCTACCCCTCCGGGGACTCCGCCCTTCTCCCAGGACGCTCCACTGGCCTGTGCTCCCCTCTGTTGATCCTCCTCCCCCCTGGCCCAGTGGTGTAGCGCTTGGGGCATGCGCTGGCCAACGCCAACAGCACTGGGACCCCCTGCCCGTGGCTCACCTCCAGACAGTGCAGGTGAAATGCTGGTGGTCCTCACTGGTCCCCAGACTCATCTGCCACTGCTGTCGGGAGAAGACAGGCTGGGGTCAGCCAGGCCTGCACTCGGGGGGAGTTCTAGGCTCGCCTCCAATTCTGCAGAGCCCGTGTGCCTCTTCCATGCCCCTAGTCAGAGGCCGGCCACCAGAGCCCCTGTCCACCCTCTCAGAGGCCTGAAGCTCTGTGTCCACCTGCATGCAGGAAACTCGCCTGTCCCGCATCCTTGCCATAAAAGGGGGTGCCTCTCCAAGCAGGGGGAGACATGAACGACTGCTCAACACTCAAAGACTCCAGTTCCGTTTATAAAAAAAGAAACGGGGCCAGGCTCGGTGGCTCAGCCTGTAATCCCAGCACTTTGGGAGCGAGGCAAGTGGATGGCTTGAGCCTGCGGGTTCAAGACCAGCCCAGGCAAATTGGCGAGACCTCATCCCTACAATAAACCAAAAATTAGCTGGGAGTGGTAGCGCGCGCCGGTAATTCCGGCCACTTGGAAGACTGAGGCGGAAGGATCGCCAGAGCCAGCAGGTTGACGCTGGGGTAGCCATGAGTGTGGTGCTGCACTCCAGCCTGGGCGACAGAGTGAGACTCCGACTCAAAAAAGAAAAGCAGTTAGGCATGGTAGCTCATGCTTGTAATCCCAGCACTTTGCGAGGTGAAGGCAGGAGCCCTGCTTCAGTCCATGAGTTCGAGACCTGCCTGGATAACATAGTCTCTACAAAAAATCAAAACATTAGCCAGGCACGGTGGTGTGCACCTGTAGTCACAGCTAATCAGGAGGCTGAGGCAGAAGGATCGCCTGAGCCCAGAAGGTTGAGGCTGTGGGGAGCTGTGATCGTGCCCTCTGCACTCCAGCCTGGAAAACAGAGTTGTCCGACTGAAAGAAGAAAAAAAAAAGCCAGGCATGGTGACTCAAGCCTGTAATCCTAGCACTTTGGGAGGCTGAGGTAACAGGATTGCCTGAGCCCATGAGTTCGAGACCAGCCTGGGCAACTTGGTGAGACCTCGTCTTTACATTTAAAATGATCTGGGTGTGGTAGCGCATGCCTGTGGTTCCGGCTGCTTGGAAGGCTGAGGCGGAAAGATGGCCTGAGCCCAGCAGGTCGACGCAGGGGTGGCCGTGAGCATGCCACTGCACTCCAGCCTGGG